CCGGCAAATATAAAAAAGAATTGTTACAACTATCTTTATAAATTCTAGAATTGTTACAGCTATTTTCATAAATTCTAGAATTGTAACAATTATCTTCATAAATTCCAGAATAATTAAAAATTTTTCATTGCAGAATAAAATAAACTACCAAATCATTAGTAATAAAAAACTTATTGACAATTATTACTTCTATTGTCCTAGAATTTTAAACCCAACTAAAATAATATTATGACATGAAAAAGGTATAGAACTAGCTTTAAAACGAGGCCGAGCGAAGCGAGGCCATGAGAAATAAATAATAAAATCTATTACAGTAAACCTCCATAAGTGCACCCTTTATAAGTGCACATCCTCTCTAAATAAGCACTTAAATTTGGGCCCAAATATATTCATAAATGCACTTATTTTCTAAGTGCATATCATTAAAGTTCAGTCCCAAAGACATGCAGTTATGGAAATTTCACTGTATTTGCTATTAATTTTAGTTTAACAGTAAATATAAGAGCTATCACAGTAAAACCTTCATAAATATACCCTTTATAAGTGCACACCTACACTTAAACTTGGGCCCAAATATATATATTACTTCAATCAATGTACTTTTTCTTATTGTTCTCTAAGTGCACATTGTTAAAGTTCAGTTCAAAACATGCACTTATTGAGGTTTTTTATTGTATAATTAAATAAAAACATTATATCAGATATTATAACAATATACTGTACTGTTACTAATCTGATAATTGATTTGTTGAAACTGGGCGGCGAAGCCGCCCACATGTGCAATCTCTAGTTACATAAAAATAATGATGATGACATCTATACCTATACTGGACTAGCGAACGAATTTATTTACGTAATTGTCATAATATTTTTGGGAAATTCTAATTTCACCCGGGTTACTTACCCGAAATATTACAAATTCTATATAATAATTTTAGCTATGTAAATGACGTTACAATTTATCGGGTCTTTTAACCGGGTGAAATAGAATTTTCCCAATATTTTTTCCCTACAGCCTGAAACTAAACACAGCAATAGAGTTCATAAGTAGGGATGAAAAGCGATTTTAAAAACCACAATCGATGGTCGAGTTTCTGAGCTAATCAACAAACAAATTTAGCGATTTGCTATTTCCACCATGGATATGTAGATCATAGCCAGAATGAAGGTTGGAGTCAGGGGACAGATTTATAACGTTAGTCATTTCATGGTTTAAATAGCAAATTACAATTGTGAAATAGTAATTCCATAAATTTATTGATCATTTCCAAAAAAATCAAAATTATCAAACCTATTTATTTATTTTGAATATATGATACAATAATTATCATTATGTATATACTTTACTGTATACGGTATGTACGTTAGATAGTACTATGAAGCTTTTTTAACTTTTTAGTTAGTCTCTTATCTGGATTTGCGAAATATTTCTGCGTTACTTTTAGTTTTTACTGGACTTGTTTACGAGACATATGAATTGATTTAGATAAGAATATTCAATTGCCAATAATTAGTACTACGCTACTCGTCATATCCTATTAATAGTTTGGAAAATTTTCAAACTAGTTAATATATAATTTACAGAGGAGATACAATTTGAAACGATCTTTCAAATTGTATTTCCTCTGTAAATTATATATTAACTACTTAAGAAATTTGCCTGATTGCTCAATAGAACCTGTATTTTAAACTAACAGAGCGTTTTTTTTTATTAATTTTAAGAATTTCTAATAATATTAAATAATTTTTCGTTAAAATTTAAACGTAGCATTTTACATTTAGATGATCATAAATGAAAAACTAATATTGATTTTTGTATGGAACTACGTATAGATTTGATCTACACAGTACAGTACGTACATCCTAATTTTGAATTCATTTGCGTAATCATAAATACCATATAAATTGCTACTAGAATCAACGGTTAAAATAATTTATAGTGCAGAATTTCTTCTTCGATCAAACATAATTACTGCTTCAATTTCACAATGGCAGATATTAGAATATTTGCAGTAATATGCGTAGTAATTTTGTTATTTATAGGAATTATTGGGCTTATTGAAGTTGCTTCCCTTATTTTTGATTATATGCGCCGTACGCCAATCGGAGTTGCTGTTTCTAATAAAGAAAAGACTGATGATATTCAAAGTATTATTATTGCGGGAAGAACAGGCAGTGGTAAATCAACTTTAGCAAATGTTCTATCAAATAATAACAAATTTGCTGAAGTAGCTGGGAGCACCAGTGGAACAAAAAGAATTCAAAGTGAAATCTTTGAGTGGAAAGGAAATAAATATCGTGTAATTGATACAGTCGGAATAGGTGATACCGCTGAATTATCGAATGATGAAAAAATGTCACTTTTTCTAGAACTACTTGAAATAGTTAGAAAGCACAATGTTGTACAGATAATTTTTGTTTACAAAGACCGTTTTGAAGAGTATCAGATAAAAGCTTTAGAAAAAGTTAACACCCTTTTCAAAATATATGGGTCAAACTCTATATCTAAACATATTGCTTTAGTTTGTACAAATTTTGACCAGTTTGAAAATAAAAAAGCATGTGACCAAGACATTAAAAAGCTACACGGGGAATGTAAAAACAAAAGTGCTGCTGAATTAATTAAGAATTGTAAGCACATTCATGTAGATAACCCATCAATTTGCTCACCTCACTATAGGGATGGTGCAATACGTGCCCGGCAATCTTCAAGAAAGAAGTTACTTAATTACTTGGCGCCGATTCTTTCTGTAGAAGGTATTAAGATTGAAAATGCATTTGGTGCTACAAACGTTAGGGATCAGGACATATATGATTGTTTTTAACAGACTCGAAAAATTTGCTTATGTATACTGTTATTATTCCCTAATCCATGTAAAGTTTTTTTTTTATTTTTATTTCAATTGTCTTTTTTTATTTCGTCATTTATTTTATTCCCTATTTTGTATTCACTATTATTGATTTCTATATTTCATATTCAGTTATTACAAAACACACCTATGGTGTTTTACACCTATTATATAATTTGATCATTTTTTAAGTTTTTATAAGTTCTGTTTATACAATTTTTAAACAAAATTTTCACATTAGGGTTAGTATTTAGGATTAGAATTAAAGTTTGGGAATGGTTTTTTGACTTACTTAGAACACCCATACGAATAATTTGCAAGTTGTATTCATAGGAGTTAAACACCATAGGTGCATTTTAGTAAAAGACTTTAATAATTTATTTATGTCAAATTTAAATCTTGTGAAACTTGTTTGATAGAATACGTTGTTTGTAAAAGTTGCACTTAAGTCACAAGAACTAATAGAACAATGGCGGTAGCTATACAAATTGCACGACTACTGTGTATTTTATTAGATAATGTGTACGAAAAATCGTTGCTTGTACAGAGACGGAATGAAAGAAATCGATAACTTTATTGCGAGACTTGATCAATGTGATAATATTAAAGAACATTACAACTATTGGAACTTAATTTTAATAGTTGTAATTAATTAATAAAAGTGCTCTTACTTATAAACTAGCAATAAAATAGCGGCATTTTCTAGAGCTGGAGACTTAGATATTAGTTTATTATTGAAGTTATAAATTTTAAGCAAGAAAATGGTATTGTTATTATAGTAACTTATAATGAAAAGTCATTAAAATAATACTAATAAATAGAACAATAAGCCGAGATATTATTATTTACTAATATTTATTATAAGTGTGTACTTGTTACACGTCATTATGTATATAATATGAATATATATTATAGCATAATATTTAATGAGTTTAGTGAATGTCCCACATCAACCATTCGGTTAATACTCTATAAATTTAGGGTTCTTTAAAAATCCGCCGATTTGCTTTATTAACATTCAAAAATGTATGGCTTACCTATTATAGAGTGCTATGAGTTGTCTAGTATTTTCCTTAATAATTGGCCGTTCTTATTGAATATTATTGATTAACATTATTAAATATTGTAGGTTGGAAGTTCTTTGATATTTCGCTTAGTGCTCATTTACACCATAGATCGGATTTTATATATTTTAACATTTGAAACGATTTAGATGAAATTAAAAAACAATTCTTGAATGCATTTTAAATAGTCAAAGAAATACGTACCAATTATTTTACCTTATGTAGGATCACAGCCTGTATAAAGCATCATTCATATCCGGACAAAATGTTTTTACTACTTTCAGCTTTTAAACCAGCTTGTCGGAACTTAGGCAGATACATATGGGCGGATTGTGCTCATTTTGTGATATTAAAAAATTGATCACATTAAAATAAGTGATGTAATAATATTAATTTCAGATTAAAATAAGCTAAATACCGATATATTGCAACGTGATCATATTTAGATATCACAAAATGAGCACAATCCGCCCATATGTATATATCGTTACAGATAGAAGGTTCATGAGCTTATTCTTTTTGATGAAATACTGAAAATCTAAAATCATAGTGGAAATTTCAGATTTCTGTTAATAATACCGTATTACGGTTGATAAAGTAAAAAGCTTAATAAAATATTACATACTTACCTCTTATTGATCTTTAACTTGTTTGAGTACCTTTCTTGCACACTCATGAAATAAATTAACCAATTACTTGAATGTTTATTAGACAAATTTTTACCGAATATGCTAGTCGATCCTCTGGATAACCCGGATGACACTTTTCTTCTACGCATATACTTTCTAATTTTTTTTGGGGGTTTTTTTAATAATTGATAAACATCAGTAATCCAAAGTATTGTAAAGGCAGTGTATAAAATTCCAGCAATATGTAAACCTTGTGCATAATGCATATAAAATTAATGTGAAAAAATTTTAACATATTTGCACCAACTTTTATAATTTAATCAAATTTATACAGATAGATTTGAACATATATACAGTAAACTACGTGCTTTATGTGCAGATATTTTGTATTTTATTGGTAAATTTGGTGCATTATTCAGCCCAAAATTTGAAATTTTTTTTAAAAAAAGTGCACTGAGCACATTGTACACATAGACTTTTACACTAGTAAAGGAGAAATTAATGTATAAACTATGTTCCTAAATTTTACGTACTATAAAAATAAATGGTTATTTATTTATCCGAATGTTTTTTTTACATAAAAGGTTTACTTTTGTTCTTTATAATTAATAGTTATGTGTTGTATTAAGTATAATAGAAAATAAAAATAAAAAAAAATTACAAATAAAAAATCGACAAATCACAATTTATAATTAGAGCAACTTAGAATTGAATTATCGAAAGGCGCATACTTTGTTTTTTTTTTTTTTGCGATAATAGTAACAACCATAAATTTCAATAAGCCGATTATTGATTGAAATTCTACAGGAATTGCCTAAATTTTAGCATACTTACAGAGACGGGAGCCAGACATCTGCAAAATTTTTAAGTGTACGGTTTTAAGGTTTTCCATTCCGTTCCTCTCCGCTCCAGCCCAATAAGAATCTTCGCATGTTGATTGATAATAGTTTGTAAATAGTTTACTTCAAAAACGTTCATATTTCGAATAAAATTAAAGTACAAACGCTATAAACATTTTTGTGACACGTGCAAGTAGTGGTACGTTTGAAAGATGCGAGTGGTTTATTTCGAATTATACATGATATCACGTATGGCAAGCTACTAGTTATTGGGTTAGTTTCGTGAATTTACGTACTAAGCTCGTAAATTTAAGTGTTATTGCCAATGCTAAATCCCGTGTGTATTCGACTAGTAAACTGCTGCAAAACCCAAAGCTATTTACGTCCAATCGGCATACGGTCATACACGGCCCGCACTAACTCGAACCATACGTACCAATCTGGATCTTAATCCGTGCCACAAAGATTTGTGCCTACCCGAAATAACACGTACCGATCTGGTACATTTTTTTACAGGGCAGTAAGAACATTCCTATATGTTAGTTTACAAATGTACGTAAACTCATCGATTTCATGTAACTTGAGAGAGAAAAAAGGAACCTAGTAGTAGTAGGATCTTTCGAGTAGCCTTTGTTTTTTTTTGTTGTGCTTTATCTGTGAGACGATATACATTATTCATTGATTCACAAATGGTATGTCGATTCCGAATTACAAAACTTAATAAACGCCGTAAAATGAAAGATTTAATTTTGTTGGGATTTCTATTTTTGGTTGTGCAGTTTTAACTGGCTTTTACCATCTATAGTCTGTGTTACATTGGTCTTTCCAGTTTTTTTTTTAAACAATCAATTTAAATATGAATCTGAATCTGTTCTAGATTCTGGATGAGGAGCAATGTCAAACACAAAAATTTTAAGTGTGTTTATCGATTTTAATTGTTATTCTCTGTTTATGATTACGTATTTGCTTCTTAAATTTTATATTTTGATTTTTTTTTTCATATTTTTTTTTGCCGGATAGATGAGTTGATAATCAAAGGGCGTAATGAAAAAATTGTAGCGAAAGAACTTATTGACATGCATATGATGCGTTGTGGCTTAGTCAAGTTTTTTTTATTTAGGATGTGATAACGATAAGAATGAATCAAATGTAATAACATTATTGTATTAGTCAAGTTTTTTTTATTTAGGATGTGATAACGATAAGAATGAATCAAATGTAATAACATTATTGTATTTGTGGCTTATTTTTAATATTAATGCTTCGTTACGTAATTTACCGGTGGTTGTGTCTCTCGTACCGTCGTTGTATTACTCTATTTTGACTAAGCCTTATTAAAAACCACGTATTTGTGTAGACATCTTTTGTAAGATAAATATTAAAAAAAAAACAAAAAAAAAAAATCGTTAAAAAAAATTTTCTAAATTATTTGAATGAACGTATGAAACATGCTAGCTACTATTACGTGTACATTATTGGGCAGACGACAAAAAATAACGGCAAATTGTTTTGTTTGTCGGAATTAATGTCACTCCATGTGCTGCGTAGCAGCACATGAGTGAAATTAACTCCGATGAAAAAAAACAATTTGCCGTTATTTGTCGTACGTATGCCCAATAATGATGTTATCCGATAGTTAATATGACCATGTGAAGTTTTCTCCGTGATATTTTGCAAAACTGGCTACGTAATTTCATGCAAAAAATATCATGGCAAAAAAATTCACATGATCATATTAAATGTCGGATAACGTGTTTTATTCAGTTTTATGTAACCGATTATCAATTAAATTCTAGCAAAATATCTATGTATATAGTTGATGCTTCGGGTTTATGAAATCAAAGAGTTGAATTCGCCATTAAAAGCATTTTTAGTTTTTTTACTACTGTATTTCTCTCATATTTTGTACCATATCAACAATCGAAAATTCCTCTTAATCTATAAAAAAGAAAATTTTCTCATCTGCCGTTTTTGTATACAATGTGATCGGGCTGTTAGTAAATTCACTATATTCAGAAGTTTTTATATGAACTGTTCTTCATTCGAACTGTTCTTCATACGAACTGTGCTTCACCATAATAAGAGGTTCACACTATAACGTGCACTATAACTTGTATGCTTTTATTCTAGATACTACGTCGAGACAATTAATTGAGTAATTGATTGTGGAGGTAATCATTTGACTTCAATTGTGGCGTAACAACAATTACGTACCCAATTAATAGCAATTTTTGCTGCAAACATGAAATGTAAAGGTATATTCGCTGATTTTCAACATCAGATATTGTAATTTTTTTTTAAAAAAAAAAACCCCCCTTATACAGAAGTTACCAAAATATTTTCTTTTTTTTTTTTTAATGACATACACAATTTACATTTCCCTTTGAAGATATATATCGAAATGGAGCTCTAAGTCTTCAATTTTAAATTGGTTTCGGTGAACATAAAAGTTTGAACAAGTGCTACATAGAGGCATTTTTGAGATCTGCAAATGAGTGCGATTAATTTTTTAGTTTCAAAATAGATTGTTTAAAGTCGAAAATCTTATAGCAAACTTTATAGTAAAAGCAAAATTGCAATTAATTGCAATTATTCGCAACCTGATTATATCGTAATGGTTTTTATTTAACAATTTTATAGCATTCCCAAACAACTTAATCATCAAAAAGTGCTGGTGAATAAAGTTCACTTAGCGGAAAATATTTCAGGCGGGACAAGTGTGTTTGTCATATTTAAACCATAATCGCAATTTGATAAAGTCCATTATGTTAAAAAAAAATATTTTTATTAGCAAAAAAAAAGATATTAAGTGAGTTTACCATTTTAATTTACAAACTTTTTGCTGCAAATCATCTTTTTTTATATACCAGACTTGTCAAAATTTACAATTAATTGAGTATTCAAAAAGATTATTCAAGTAACTTTTCATCGAACCAACTCTTATCATTAATGAATTATTTTTTTATTCATTACACTAAAAATTGGTACAGCTGATAAAAAAAAATGCCAGTACGTCCAAAACAATTATGGATGATTACCATTTTTTGCTAGCAACAAATTTTACTATTTCGCCAATAATTTCGTCATTTCGTACAATAGTCAAATATTAACAAAGACCTAAACCTAATGGGAAGACATTTGTTAAATAAAAATATATATTAATGAATCCTTCAAGTACCAATGGAAAGAATAACGTTTGAGAAAACTTTGATTGCATCATAATTTGCATATTCAATTTGTTAACAAGAATTTTATATATAAAAATAAAGTATGCCTACCACTTTCTGAACAGTTAATTTGACTTTATTTCTTCTAGATATAATTATTGTAATGCACTATTACGGTCACATTGGGATTGACTTTTTAGTTGATTGAAATTGCGTAATAATTTAATTGCAATTAATTTTTGGTTCCCTAATACTATCTATTGAATAAAAACGAATAATAAGAAATTAAATGAAAAGTATATCATATCTTAACGATTTCGATAAGATGAAGTGATCATTATACGCAGACTAAATCAGTGTTAATAATAAATATGATATGATTGGTTGAATCTAATTTAGTATCGTGTGTATATAATTCATTTGATCCAGATAATCATAGCATCCAAGTATACGTATTTTATAAATGAAAAGTATTGCACACACGTGATATTAACGAGCACAAAATCATTAAAATCCAATCACAGGATCCCAAGATCATTAAGGGCTTGTATTACTTCATATATATTTTAGAATTGGTTTATTCAATTCTAAAAGCATATATAAAGTAATACAAAACCTTAATGATCTCAGAATCCTGTAATTGGATTTTAGTATTTTTGATCTTATTGGAATTGTCTTATCAAGACAAATATTTTGGTAGTTAATTCATCCAAAATGGGCTGGTGATTCAAAAGTTATTGGATCAAATATAGCATAGTTTACCTCCTAATAAAATCTTTAAAAATCATTAAATTAATTGCTATATATTATAATAAAATTTTTAAAAATCTTTAAATTAATTGCTATATATTATAATAAAATCTTTAAAAATCTTTAAATTAATTGCTATATATTATAATATAATCTTTTCAATTAGCCTTTTAATATTAATTAAAATATTAATTGTAATCTAAATACAATAAAATAACTATATAAACTTATTAAATTTAATAATTTTTTAAAAGAAGTAACCTATACTATATTTGACAGCTTTATTTATTATCTTTAATATTATATAAATTTATCACTCTCAAATATTTCTTATAATTTATATTATATATTTTATTCTACTTAGTATTTATAAAATTTACAAATATTATTGATTCATCAAGATCTGATAAATCTCAAATTATCTATCAAAATTATACCAAATATAGTATTAAAGATAATAAAATATTATTATTTGAAAATGTCAAAATTTTTTTATATATTGATATAAAATTAAAATAAATTTTGTTCCTAAAAATATTCGTAAAAATATTTACAATATTATCAATAATTTTAGTTAAATAAGAATAATATTATCTATATAATGTATTTATTTTAAATTTATAAAATATTATTTTTATAATCATTTAAATATTTTCTTTTTTTATATTTTTATCAGAATCTCTTGTTTATAAATTTATTTGTCAAATAATTTTATATTATTAATTTATTATAATTTTTTTATTTATATTACTAAAATTTGCAAATTATAAGTCAACATTTTATATTATATTATTTATAATAAATATAAAATTTTTTAAATCAATCATAATATTTACTAATATAAAGTATACAAATCATTATAATATATAATAAAAATTTAAATAAATAATAAAACTATTTATATATACAATCTTAGTAACTAAACAAAAATAATGATTTCAATACTATTAATATAAAACTATTTTCAAAATAATTTTTTATCACTAATTAAATATATCAAATATATCAAACCTTGGTAATAAGTTATTATAAATACAAGTTTAGCTTAACTTATAATAATTTAATTAGTAAAACAAATATATTAATAAACAAATAATTTATATATATCTTATAACTATAATCAAAAGTATAAAAATAAATATAGTAAATTTAAAAAGACAAAATTTAATCAGTACTTGATGTCTATTTATATATATATAATAATAAAATTATATTATATAAGTATTTTAGATATATTGCTATATATTATATATATAATTTAGTAAACTTTAATAAAATTTATAAATATTTTTTAAAAAGATTTACTAATTTTAAAAATAAAATTAGCTATATCTATTTTTATAATATATTAAAAAACAATTAATATATTTTTATATTTTACTATTTTAATTTTTATTATATTTATTATAAAGAATTTTATCTAAAAATTATTTTTAAAGTAATATTTATATTAGTGTACATTTATTCCTCACTTAAAATAAACTTTAATATTACTCACTCATCTATAAAAATTTTTGCCAACCAATAAAATTCAAGATTATATATAATACAAAAAAACATAACTTTTATAAATAAGAGCTTAATATAGTATAGTTTATGACCCAATCAAAATACTTTCAATATGTGAACCAAATCTATATAAGTGTTGTTAAAAAAACTCTAAAAATTTAAATATAAGTCATATTTAATTTTTCGTGTTTTCTTTTAATAACACTCATATATTCAATCACATTTGTTAAATATTTCATAATATCAAAATATTCATCATAAAAATTCATTACCATAAGCTTTAACAGTTTTAATATAAACTAATTACATAATCTGATCTGATAGTAAAATATTTTTAAAAAATTTTTTATACTAGCAGTACAAGGTTGTCAAAACATTAACAATATATATAAAACATATTTAAGTTCAATACATTCAAACAATATATTATAAGATTATCTATAATTTATTATATCATATTCTTGTTTGATCTATAAAGTTTTCACTAAATCAAGATGGATGCAAAAATTCTAAATAATATATAGAAAATTTTTTGTCTAAAACTTGTTGAATTTTTGCTTTCAATCTTTAAATGTGAAAATTAAATTTATTAGCTACTGAATTATAAGAAAATAAAAGATTCAAAATAAATACTTTGTTCATTTGGTGCCTAATTCTATAAATATGATAGGTTTCAAGGTGAGCTTGGAGTTTTTGCCCACAGCCTTGAGATTTGAATGTTTTAATATAAACCTCTGATATGCTAAACATTGTTTAGATTTGATGAATATATTAATAAAAATGAAATAATTAAAAAAAAATACAACCTTTTAAAAATATTTTTTTATTTGTCTTTTCAGCCAAAGCTATAAAATTTGACCATTTTCTATTTCTAAGTAATTCATATATTTATAAAGTTCATCTAACTTCAATTGCAGCATTGCCACTTCCTCTCACAAAAGCTAATAATAATTTTCATAATCATAAGAGTTTGATTAACATAACCAAATAAGGTTCATATTTATGCCTGAATTGTAATATCCTTTTTATGAAGAGTTTTACTTTAAAGGTCAATCTTATTTGTTAAAGATTAATTGGCTTTGATTAACTTTTGAATCCTAATAATAAAGTTAAATTATGATAATTTTAATTAAAAAAAAAAAAAATTAATAGATAAATAGAAAACAATAATGGCTAAGTATTTATTTACTCATAATTCACAGTCTTTTTATAAGCATATCCAAGGTTTTGAGTAAAAAACACATGATTAGGGTATTTAGGTTGAAGGTGATTTCTTATTGTTGTTGCATTATATTGGCCATATATAACATGAAATTTAATTTGGTTCATAATTTCAGATGAAAATGTTTTGTAAGCAACAACAAATTTTAAAGTATCAGCAAAAATTTTATAATTATGCTTATTTTTAAAGATTATTATAGTTATGATTGATGAATTTAATGGTCATGTTATATTGATTTGCTACATACAATCTTGCTTTTTAGTCTCCTTGTTTTTTTTGTTTACCTAGTGCTGGTTTTAACAGCTTTTCATTATGTTTTTCTCCTAAATTACATTTAAAAACCCTTTTTCTACAGGTACTATCTTTAAATTTTTCACTTTTATGCTTAAAAACAGCAAATCAGTTTTGTCAAGTATATTGTTCAACAAAATGAACTGCAATAGACATGGAAGATAACCGAGCATCCAAATTAATTTCAAATGGAGTATTGATTAAAGGCAAGTTTTCAGTATGATTTTCAAATTCTGAACCTAAGATTTCTCTACTAGATATATAGTTTTACTATCTAATGCGTCATCTATTTCATTTGCTTCACTGCAATCAAATGATTCACAAGTTTACTAGAAGACATAATAATGATAAAAAAAGTGAGCTAACTCTAATAGGAGAGAAAAGTAGGCTAACTATAAAATAGGTGGAAAAAAAAGCATGCCAACTATAACAAAAAAAAATGAGCTAAACAGAATAAAAAAAAAACCAAGAGGTGAAAAAGCATACAAAGTAATAAAAGTGTATTAAAAGGCCAAAAAATGAAAATGTATAAAATAGTTTGTTGTATTTATTTAACTGTGTAGTATAATAGTTTGTGTTATAAATAAATAATTAATATGTAATCATATATTACATAAGATAAGGTGAATAATTCACCTAGGTGATCAATAAATTTTTCTTTATATTATTATTAAAATATAAAATAAAAAGTGTTTAACTAACTGTAACCACCAGTGATCATCACTAGTGTGTAATTAGCAAAATAATAAACTAAAATAAAACTTTATTTCCTCTAATTTAGGGATAGAATGAGGCCTGAGATTTTAGCAAGGTGTTAAATATATGCAAAATTTAGTAAGAAACTTATTTTGTTAGAATGTCAAAGGTAGTTTCATAGACGAATTCTTGAGATATTGGCATTTTTTGAAAAAAATCTTTATTTTTGTTACATAAACTAATTTGCACATTACACATGATCCAGCAAATTTATTGGCTAATTACAACACTGGTAATATCAATTCTGGTTATAGTTAGCAAAATTCAAATAAAAAATATATATAATATAAATTTATTATATTTATATTATTATTTGTATTATTATTAATTATTTTTTAATTTTACAAAAAAAATATATTTAATTACCAAATAATAAATAGACAATTATTATTTGTACATGGGGTGTTTGAACACTTATTATACAAAACAAATAGAAAAACTAATTACATATAAAATTAAATACAGCATAAAGATCATTTTTTATACAACAAAAATAATTTTAATTATAAAACCATCTTTTAGACTCTAAAAAAAAATCTTACAAAATTTTACTATAAAATATACTTTTTACTAACTCTAACCTCTACCCTAACCTTAATATAAATTAAAATTATTCAATACAACTGATAATCGAGAATTTATACTTCAGGATTTTGTCTACCGGACGACTTTTCTGTTCCTCAACATATTTATTATAAGGCAATAAGGCGTGGGATCAGTGATCTCCACCATATGAAGAAGTTTATTTAACTCACTTTGAAGAAATATTGCATATTAATCGACGAACTCAGAATTTTACTTTAATTCATAAGTAAATCAAGAGTCTAACTCAAATCCAAAAATAACAAACACACGTGATAGGTATTATCCAACGATGTTTATTAATAACTTTGATGAACCAGAACTGTCGGTCAACATGGTTATGGACCACACGTTACTTGTGGAAAAGTAACAGCAATGAATTCATATTTTAACAAAGTTAGAAGAATAAATGGAAGACCGACAAACGCTCAATATTTATATAAGAGCAAACTTGTGGTCGAGGAGGCACTGTATTTTGTTTTTCAGATGATTTCTTGATAGATGACAACAAACGTATGGTTACTATGATGGATATGGTTTGACAACTTTAGTTCAAAGCACTAATAGAAATATATAGCAGAAAATAGAAAACAAATGTCAGATAATTGATTCTAATACAAAAATAGGGGCAATAATTACAACCTATTATAAATATCACCACTTATAGTATTAAAATTTTCTCTCAGAACTATTAATTTCAAATATATAAAGAGACCAGTGTGATGCTTCTACTAATAGCTTTTTCCAGTTCATTTTTTTCTTCTGCATCGATATCATTATTACTAATATTTAAGAATATTAGCGTAGTGTTTTTGCGTAGTGCCTTGGCTAGTGCTTTTCCTCCTTCAATACAGATCTTATTTCCACTAAGATCCAAAGATTCTAACGTAGTGTTTACGCGAAGTGCATTTGCAATTACTTTTCCATCTTCAGGTCCAAGATTATTGTAATTAAGTTGTAAAGAAATTAAAGTCTTATTTTCACAGAGAAATTCTGCAATTGCTTTTAATTCTCTAGAAACCGAAAAAAATGAACCAATTGTTGTAACATTTGAAATTTCTAGTGTAGTCAATGTTGTATTCTCATAAAGATCATCTATAATTAATTCGATTCCTCCAAAATAATTATAAATACGATCATAAATGCATAAGTCCTCAATGCTCATCCGCAAAAACATTGAAAGTAAAGATCGCTTAACTACTTCAATTCTCTCAGCAAACAAGCATTGTGCACCTACAGTATTATTAAAAAGTCCTTCACCATCATATTCAACCCAATCTTTTACTCCAATTTCGAAGTCACAACTAAACCTTAATGATTTGATAAAAGTTGTATAATCAAATAATGACTTTGGATAATTTGGAATAATTATTCTTCTCGATGTTAATACTTGTCGCTCCTCTTTATTTAGGGCTGAAATACACACTCTTATTAACTTTATATTGTTTAAATAAGCTGATGGATCATTCCATAATATCGATACAACGTTAACACACCATTGTCGATTTACAAGAAGGCATGAAAATAAGCTTTTATGATCAATCCAAAGATAATTGAATATTACACAAAGACATTCATTAGGCAATGCTATCATTTTAGTGAATGATTTGAATAAAGGAATGTTCGGATTTTGTTTAAAAAAATTTCCTATAAATATGAGAAAAAATGAAAGCGTTTAACCATTAATAGCGTCTTGTGTTACGTACGGTAATAAGGTATGATCAAATTCATGTATAGTCGTCGAATAGTAAGTAAAAACTATTTGGGCAAATTTTTGTCGCTGGCAATTACAAAAATCTCAATTTCAAATTAAAATAATTCAAAATTATGCCTATGAAATCAACTTCCGTGTCTTATAAAAGAATATTCTTGCATAATTTTACTCAATACTATAACCCTTTCTAACACTAAATACAACGATGACAAGTATTACAGTCTTACCTGGGTTATATCACCCCTTTTTTCCAGAACATTTTTGGAGATATAACTAAGGCAGGATATAACTCAATATATAAAACATATAAAAAAAGGGAATTTATTCTGCTTAAAGATATAACTCAGGTATGACTGTATATATTGTTTCAATAAATAAATAAAAAATTTTTTAAAAAAACGCTCAATTAGTTTAAAATACAGGTTCTGCTAAGAAATTGAGCAAAATTTTCAAAGCAGTTAATATGTAATTTACAGAAGAGATACAATTTGAAAATTAAAAATCTTATATGAAACGATCAAATTTCAAACTGTACTTCCTCTGTAAATTATATTTTACTACAGTAGATCATCGTGATTGTTACATGAAAAAATATATTTAATTTTTATAGGAACGACGTATAGATTTTATCAACGTAGTATATCGAACAACCAACATATGTACAATACTAATTTTGAATTCATTTGCGTTATCATAAATATACGAGTTATATCCCCACTGGCTTATATCCCAATCTGAGTTATATCCCCATATTTATGCAAAATAAATTTACTCTTTTTTATATGTTTTTATGTATTTTATATATTGAGTTATATTTATACCTTAGTTATATTTTCAAAAATGCTCAGGAAAAGGGGGGATATAACCCCAGGTACGACTGTAAATACTACTAGACTCAATGGTTAAAATAATTTATCGAGTGGAATTTTTCCTTCGCTTAAACATAATTCAATTTCACAATGAAGAATATTAGCATATGTGTAATAATATGCAAAGTAATTTTGTTACTTTTAATTATGCGTACTAGTGTTGTTTTTATTTTAGATTATATTCATCGGAGTTACTGTTCCTAATGAAGAAAAGACAGACTGATGATATTCAAAGTATGTTTATTGTGGGAAGAACAAGCAGTGGTAAATCACCTTTAGCAAATGTTCTATCAGGTAATGATAAATTTGCTGAAGTAGCTGGGAGCACAAGTTGAACGAAAAGAGTTCAAAGTAAGTCTTTAAGCGGAATTACTGTGTAATTGGTACAGTCGGAATAGGTGATACCGCTTAATTATCAAATGATATAAAATGTCACTTTTTCTGAAACGACATGAAAATAGTTAAAAAGCACAATATTATGCAGATATTTTTTGTTTACAAAAACCGTTTTGATAAAAGCTTTAGAAAAAGTTAACACCCTTTTCAAAATATATGGGTCAACTCATATATAAACATATTGCTCTAGTTTGTACTAATTTTGATCAGTTTGAAGATAAAAGAGAATGTGACCAAGACATTAAAAGGCTATCGAGTAACGTAAAAATAAAGATATTGTTAAATTAATTAAGAATTGTAAACACATTCAAGTAGATAATTCATCAATTCACTCACCTTACTATAAGGATGGTGCAATACGCGCCCAGCAATCTTCAAGACAGAAGTTACTTAATGACTTAGAACCGATTCTTTTTGTAGAAGGTATTAAGATTGAAAATGCATTTAGTGTTAAAACGTTAGGGATCAAGACATGTATGATTGTTTTTAACAGACTCGAAAAATTTACCTATAGCATCATGTGTATACTGTTATTATTCCTCAGTCCATGCAAAGTTCTTTTTTTATTTCAACAGCCTTTTTTTATCCCATCATTTATTTTATTCACTATTTTATAATTGATTTATATATTTAATATTCATTTATTATAAAACACATCAATGGTGTTTTGCAACTATTATGTATTTTGATTATTATTCAAAGTTTTTATAAATTTTGTATATAAAATTTTTAGCACAAAATTTTTCACATTAGGTTAGTATAGAATTAAGGTTTGGGAAGGGTTTTGGAGGCATAGAACATTTTTACATAAAAAACCCATACCGATTAATTTGGAAGTTTTTGAGATAATATAATTATAGGTGTAAAACTCCATAGGTGCGTTTTAGTAAAAGTTCCTAATCTTATGTCAAATTTAAGTCTTGTAAAATTTGTTTGATAGAATGGGTTGTGTCTGAATCTGCACTTAAGCCATAAGAACTAACCATTCTGGAGGATTGACGGAATTGGACCTTTATTTAGATACTCTAAATTTGAACCCTAAACTTACTTATTTGCTTTGCAAAATTCGCCATCACGATCGTAATCACGATCATTTTATAAATATTAGTAATTAATAAAGGTCTAATTTCGCAATCCGCCAGAATGCAGAACAATGACGGTAGCTATACAATTTGCAGCAACAAGACGGAATGTAAGAAATCGGTAACTAAAACATTGCGTAAATTATTATTGCAAGACTTAATCAGTCTTGCCCAATCCAAACTCACCCTTACCCTAATCACAAGCGAGGTTTAAATTTTCGTTTATAAAAATTTTGATTGCATGTTATACGAATTTGTAATACAATAAATTATACATGTGTATAAACATTACGTGTAAACTAATAAATTTTCTTTGACAAATATGAAAATAAGTAGTTTTTTCAAACAACTTCGTAAATACCTTGTAATAATGCTAGTACCCATAAGAAAATTGGATTGTGTTGGCACGAGTTGGCATCGAAATGGCACAGGTTTGGTTGCACGGATTAGATACGGTATGTAGTAGGTTCGAATTGGTACAGATTTATGGCTCAACATCAGTGCCAATTGGACCGTTAATGGCTCAGGTTTTGTGACACCTTACTAGTCCAAATATCACAAATTTTAGTACAGATTGTGATGTAATGGTTTGAGTATTGATGGCCTGATTTGTCAAGTTAGTGTAATTTTTTTGGTTTTTGGTAACTATATATTAGTGCAATTGGATTATTAATGATTTGGATTGTATGTTTTATCAATCCAATTGGTGTAGGTTTTGATATATATAATTTTCATTATTGTTAGAAATCTGTTTTGATATTTATGTTCTCATGAGAACATATTTATTTAGTCTAATATTTTCAAAAATTTTTTATGTTCTCAAATAAAAAATCTTTCTTTCTCACTCTCACACACACACTTTCTCTCTCCTCTCTCTCTCTCTCATTACTTATTAATAGGTTTTTAAGTTCAGTTCAAAAGTTCATTTGAACCTAAACTAAACTTTAAATTTTGCAGATCTTTTAAAACTTTAATTTATAGACCTGAACAATATCTTATTTATATATAAACAAAATTATTAAAGCATAAAGATAGAATTAATTAGTAAAAGTTTGAGATCTTATCATTATTATAATTTTATTAATAAAATTATAAAAAACATTATAATTTTTAAAATTTTACTAAATAATTCTATCTTCATACTTTAAGTAACTTTATTTTTTGTACAAAAATATATTATATAGAAAACATATTTTTAAACTTACTATTTTCAAAAAAAATTTTATAGAGAACATCTTAAATTTTAGTAATATTTTCAAATTTTAAGCAATGTTCTTATAAAAATATAAAACATAAGATTGCCAATACTAATTCTCATACTATTATAATAATATTAAAATATAAATTTGCATAATAATAAATATATAAATAAAATATTTTATTATAGATACGTATTATTTAAAAATTATTTTTTATATATTAAAATTCATTTTTAATATATTAAAATATACACAAAATAACAAATAAAAAATATTATAAAATAATTAATAAATACTAAATACTATATAAATACTATTAAAAATTATAAAATATAATTAAGAATATTTATTTAAACACAACTCTCCCTAATAATCACTTATACTAAACTTACAACTAATAAAAACAGAAACTTATTGGAGAAAATAAAAGAGACAACTATACAAGTAATGGTTTTTACAGAAGTTAATGTTCTTTGTGGTCTTATTGTTTTTAAGACTTCTCTGTATATTAAGCAAGCAAGTTAAAAGATTCTTATACAAGATAATTAAGAAGTTAAAGCACTTGTCTAAAAAATTTTAATAGAAGTATAAGTAGATGAAATAAAAAGATAGTTGGTCTAAAAAGAGAACAACATTCAAGCTTTTAAGACACTCTTTATCAAAGTTTAAACTACCTGCAAACCAAAACCAGTTTCAACACCCCACTCACTGCACTTTATAAAATTAATCAATTCAGCCTTGAAATTCAAAGCCAAAAATCCTGTTTCTTTTAGTAACGCTTATCTATGTATTAATATTATTTATGTAAAATAAACCTATCTAAATATTTAAATAAATTTATTGTTAGATTGTTAAGATTTTTTCAAACTTTAATTAAATACATACATATGTAAGTAGTTCGTTAACTCTAATATTACTGGCAATTACTTCCCGATGCTCTAATTTATCTACTCTAAAAAATCTTAAGAGGTATTAAGTTGAAATCCGTGAAATGTGTAAAGCCTAAAATTAGGCTTGGGATGGGATAGGATAATTTATACCAAAATCTCGCAAGGATTTTTTTCATTAGTACCCAAATGGTGGTTGAATAAGCGAAATTTTGAGTTATAAACGGGGGGTTTTTTTTTAAAGAAAGCAATAATTTTACGTTACAACTGATCGTGTAACCTGATCGGCTTTCTATATATCCATGTAGTGTACTAATAATAGAACTTGGCTATATAATATTATATAAATATAAATATATAAATAAAAATAATTATTAATAAAAAAGCTTTAATTATTTTAATTACCTTCTTTATTCTTGCTTTTTTTATTAATTTTACTATCTTTACTAATTTTGCTACCTTTTTCTAATTTCGCCACTTTTAGCTGTTTCATTAGTTTCGCCACTTTTCGCCATTTCGTCATTTTTTTGGCGAAAGTCGGAACTAGGTTTCACCTGCCAACACTACAAAAGTCGGAACTAGGTTTCACCTGCCAACACTTCAATACTACAAAAGTTGCAACTCCGTTACCTCAAAATGTCTGCACCTCCAATCTGAACTTCATAATACGTACTGTACATATGTACTTTTTTCCATTAAATTTATTTATAATTTATTATACTAATTTTTTTTAAATCAGTAATCTATAAAAAAAAAATAGTTTGATTTAATTAGAGGGTGGAAATATAATATACTTGTGATAAAATTACAGAACGTACTTGAAAAGAAATAGTTTAAGGGACTGAATAAAGCAATATAGAAAATTAGAATTCTTTACTGTATTACTAAAAAACTTAACTTCAGCCATTGAAATGCTTGACCTCAAGTCTATTGTAAATAGTAGTATTATGCATGTAATTGCGTATACGCCAGATCTGTTACGTGTAATTAAGATTTGGTGTAAAAATAGCAAATTTTGTGTTAACATTATCAGAAATTACATGTATATTTAAGTCCATACTTTTGTCCTTGGCTAAATAACAATGCATACACTCTATTTACATTCTTTTCCATAATAAATGTTTAATGACCATCAAATATAAGTGTATGTCTCAATTGTTGAAGAGTCCTATTAATTATGGCTGGACAGTATTAGATGATTTGTGTAACCATTGCGCTGAGAATGCATTTATGATCATTTTCTTTTAACGTTAACATTTTGATGTAATTAATAATTGACTCGCCAGTTGTGATTAAAAAGACTCGTATTCATCATGATCTGAATCACGCATTTTTAATTCATGAGTCAAAATAGGTTTAATTCTTGTAACTCGAATCATTCGAGTAAAATTAACTCGATCGAGTGAATTACTAGTTGATATGGGTCCAATCACAAATCGTATTGTACTATACAGTTTGATTGGAATAAGATATAACTACCGTATACAAGTCATTTCATAAGATACATTAAAAAAAATACATATTGTAGGTATGAATGTACTGTATGATTTTTATCATGAAAATTAATAAATTTATTATTTTTTTAAAAAAAAAATGTAAAAGCAGATAAATTTCCAACACACTATAACAATAATGGTAAATGCAAACGAGTGGTTAAATAGAGTGATTTCGACGAGTAAAAAAAGAGAACAAGCAACAACTCTTAGCGTATATCGAGGTGATAGAGTTGGTGTATGTTGGCGGAGTTATAGGGATGCACCAGTTGAATATTTTGATGGAAATCAAAACAACTGTTTAATAGCTCCAAATTATTGCTTTTATAATGTCGGTTTGGAAGGAGAGTTAGATCTTAACGATTTTGTTAGTTTGCAAGAGTTACGGATCGAAGGCACAGCGCAGCAGCAACAAAAGTTAACTAGTTTGAAGATTGATAAATGCATTGTATTGACTAAAATTACGATCAATTATACTACACTTGGTAGTTTAAGTTTAGGTAGTAAACCAAGATTGCAACAAACTAATTTCGTTGGCAACAAACGACTCATTTTTCGTGACATTGCATTGAAAGATCAGATAGAAACATTAACCAGTTTGATCCTACCCGCTAAAAGTGTTAGCCTTAATGATTTAAAATTGGTGGATAAGAAAATCAAAGAGGAAAGATTAGATTACCATTTACAAGTCATTAAAAGTAGTTTTGATGAAAATAATCAGTTGTGGCTAGAAAGTTTAGTAGATGCACAACAAGAAGTTTTGAAAAATAACAGCAAGTTTGCACGTAAACAGTTAGAAAAATGTAAAAAAAAATTATTGGAGGCGTTGACTGCTGAAGAAATTCAGGATATTTTAAACAAAAAAATAGAAATTAATGAATTGGAAGTTCAATTAAATAATCTTAACAAATTTCTATTAAGAGATCGTCATTAAGAACTGTTATGTGGAAATACGGTTTCATAATACCATGCTGGTAAATATTATACATGATATTGGCATGATTTCATATATTGTGAAATCCCTCTAAAACAATTATCTCATTTCTTAATACGTAGATCATCATTAGAGTTTCTGTTATTCTAAAAGGATGAACTCTGTTTGATAGTTCTCAGAAAAACGTCGAATAATGAACATACTTATTTATCTTTATTGTCTTGACTTCCATCATATTTCTTCAATTATGTTAACAATTATTTCGTCTGATTTTATTATTATTTTTTCTACCACATTCTTATATATTTAATATGGTAAATGGCAGGTGATTGTTTCGTACATTTAAGACTATTGGGAGTGGGTTTATATTATCAAGGAAGATTTTAAACATAGTGTTGGGCTGTCTCAAAAAAGGTTTTGAATTATATGAATTATATGTGTGTATTTCAGTTTTTTTAAGAAAATGATTCTTTTCAATCTTACCTATTATATTATAAAGAGTAATTCTTTCAAATTATGAATCTTTGTATTTTGAAATAACAAATATCACTAGTCATTATTTTCACTAATTTACACAAAAATGTGTTTTGTATCCAAATTTTAAATTTCTTTATACGATTAAGTTTTAAGCGGATCTAATGCTTCAATATGTTAAAGTATTAGCCTAGCCTATTGTTATAAAAATTTGCTATATGATATGAACCTAGATCAAATTAGATCTTTTCTTTAATTAGGTAGGGTTCATTCAATAAAAACAGATTAATATTTTTTGAAGATGCAATCATATAAGTGACGTCAAGGAAAAGACCAGAATTCGAGCTTTCAAGTTGATTAACAAATCTGAAAGCTTAAAGTCTGGTTTCAATTGATAAATTGAGTATTCTCTATGTATCCTTCTATATAATTTGACATCCTAATTTTAGTTTTACAAAAAATATCACATTTAATTTACTTAATTTGTACCAATTAAATCAATGAACTTTAAAAAATAAAATATTCACTGTTGTGATATTTTTATTTTTACTTTTTTTGCGTAAATTTAGTCAATGAGCACACTATTTAATGTGTTTAAAAGAATTATTCATCAATTTAATATATTACTGTACATAAATATATTTTATTTAATAATCGTTGTATTTCCGAATATTTGCTGTTAGACGTCTCATTATTCATATTAATCTGCTTATTCATGTTTAAATTTCTATTGCACGTGCATTTAAATTATTCCAATTTGCTTAATTCAATAATTTCAAATACAAGTAGAAATTATAGGAATATTGCATTTACTTAATTGCCTCAGTTACCCGATTTGTAATTTAATAAATCTTTTTAACATACCCAGAATAGTGTACTCAATACAAGACAGTGTGCGGTGTACACAGCTGTGATATATAGGACTGGTGTTGAAAGTCATCCTTAGTTAACTGATCAATACAATGTGGAGCATACACAATTATCATCTTTGAGAATGGTATAATCAATATTAATAATCATGCTGATTTAATTCCCTTTAAAGATTTCAAGCTCCTGTTAACTTATAAAACTTAAGTTTTTTGATCAATATCTTAGGCTAGCTCACGCTCCTGGTTTGGGCGTGACAATATCGCGCAGCTACCTTATTTATTAATTACTTAACATCGTAGCATAATAATTTATAGTTATTGGATAGGGTTTCAAAAATATGCACGTGGGTGTTAAACGGTGGAAGATGATTGGTGCAGATCATTTTCCACCGTTTAATACCCACGTGCATATTTTTAACCTTATCCCAATAACGGTATTATTGTGAAGCAGTTATTGACGACTACACTATTTTTTCATTTGTATAGTTTCTGTCATCAATTTAAACTTTTCTTACATTCCCCTACGTGAGACTGCATGATTTCAAATATCTAGAGCAAATCGGTTTACTTTTTTCAATTATTTTATTCTTAAACATGTTTATACCAATCTTACATTAAAAAATTTATGTTTTTATATATTAAATTTTTACCTGTAACGAAATATTTCATTTTTAAATCGTACACAATATGAAACAGAATTATTGTAAGGAATCAACTTGAGACTTAAATATTAACTTCAAAACATAACATTATACTGTAAATGTGTTTAAAAATATGATTTATGCTAAAATAACTGATTCGCTTTAACTGTGAAAACATACAAATCATTCTTTACTATTAAAATGTATTATATATATAAAGTGATAAATAATCCTTTCACTATCATGACCACTAAATTTAAAAAAAAGTCCTTAATTTTTATACAGTGCTGCAAATAACCTCAACACTTATCATTGTAGTTATGCTAATTACATTACATGATAGATTATGAATTTTCGGCATTATGACATATTTAGAGCAAGAATTGTTTTAAGCATGCAGGTAGTTTTCATCTTACTTATAAACTTCAGATAAATGTGCTTCACGAATATTTTCGTTTGCAGATGTTCTTATAATAGATTTTTTAGATCGTTTTTTATAAATCAAAAATCCAGTTGTAACTAATATTCCAATTAAAATAATTCCGCCTACACCAATACCAATTCCAACATATAAATTATCAAAACTTTGTTTTTGTTGGCTTGAACTTGTTTGACTAGCTGTAGGTTCTACTGGTTTATAAGTGGAGGTTGGTGTTGGAAGTATATTTGCTGAAGTTACCCAAGTGTAATTTTGTACGTCCAGGATATAAACATTATTAGTGTATGTAGTTATGTCCATAGCTCCTTAATATGTCAAGATTGAATAATTTAATACTTAATCTAATAAATTTAAACAGCTACTAGAAATAAATAAATTTATAAGAAAGTAATAAAGTAATTACTAAATGCAGCATAGCGAACTTTATTGTGATTGGCTGATTTTTGTAGATCATCTGGTCATACTAAAGTATTATTAAAGTAACGATTTTCTGTCACGAGAGTCACAAAAATTGATTCGCAGCCACGAATACGAATTCGCAGAGGTTGTGATATAAAAATTTAGGAACTATACCTTCTTCGTTACAAGACGTTAAAGTAATTTGGTAATCGGCGAGGTAATTCGGAAGTTAGATGAGTGCCACTTTTTGAATATTCTAAAACTTTCTATTTGGTTTGTAATCTATTTAAACTATGCGATTTAACTTTTTTTTTTTTTTCCTATACATATATATATATATAGTTTCCTCAAGACGTTGTTTGCGGTTTATAAACAATAGGTTAGATGATATGTTTATTCTTTTCTATGTTTTTACTGTTTTTACTTTTTTTTGATCTATTTTATTTTACTTTTTTTTTGATCTTTATTAATATATTTTTTTATTTC